TCGTATATTAATTTAAAATTTAATTTACAACTATTAAATATAAGTTAAATTACCAATTTAGTTTTTACCGTTTAAATTTAATTTCAATTTTTTCTCTATACTTTTAATATTTTGTTCATTATAATAACCATTTTTTTTTAGTACATTTCGTTTAACGACTCTGGTTTCATAAACTATTCATAAACCATTTTTTATGCACCTTAAATCCCATAGTTTTCCCCATTCTTTTAATAACTTAAATTCTAATATAGTCCATTAAAATAGACTTTATTGTCATGTGAATATAAAACTTGTTAAGTTGATAATGACGTTAACTATTTGAAAAATCTAAAGTTGGACTAAATTGAAATTTTTTAAACCATAAACGTCACATTAAAATTCTTATATTTTTTTTATATTTTTTTATTTTGGTAATGTGTGAAAGAAAGTGATGGTAAATCGCTATAGTTTGCTAACAACTTATGCAGAACAAATATTGTGTTTAGATCAACATTCTTGAAGCGTGCGTCAACTATCTTACATTACTTTTTTAGTGATCATCAAGTAATTATCTATGACTGTATCAGCTTTCGTATTTCTCTTCTAGTTCAATTTTAATTCAGTGTATTTCTAAAATATGCACAGTATTGAGTCAGATTTATGCTGGCAAGATCGGTAGTTGTTTGTAATCAGTTACATTGCAATTTATCTATTGTGTTCAGTTTGTAAGGTGAATACGTCTCATATTGGTTAGGGAAGAGCGAGGACAATTATCTTCATTGGTATGAAGTCTTTTAAATAAAACAAAAAATAAAGTCTAATAATTATATCTAAAACAGACAATTTCATACGTGGAGATGACTGTTATCCTCGACACATTAGAATGCTAACAAAAGTTAAGTCCAAATACAAAAACAAAATTGATAGTTTAAGCTTTAAATATAACTATAGAACAATAAACATCGTGGTTTGGTCAACAAATTTTTTAAGTTTCAAAGTTTTGTGTGCCAAAGAAAACAAAACTTTAGAAAAAAGAGAGAGATTGTGTCGATGTGACACAAAATTGAAAGCCTTTAACTCCTCGCACTGTGTCAATTGCGGCCACTCTCACTTCCCTTTCTTGCGGTCGTCGTGGCCCCATTCATTTTCCCCTCTTTTTTTTTATAACTGGGGCTTTCCCTTTTTTTTTTTTATAGAATATAGGACGGGATTCCAACTCATGAATTTCTGATCAGAGATAAATATCTTAACCACTTGAGTTAGGTTAGATTTGGCATAATGGAAACTTTCCCTTTTTACGGTAGTAGTTTATTACCACATCTATGTATTTACTACGAAACAATCTATAGATTTATTAATAACTAAATTAATTCATCTCATTTTCATTCATTCATAAAACTAAAACTGTTAATCTCTTATATTAGCTATTCAAAAATCATAGTTATATTTAAGGGTTAAAAATAATTTTTTTTAAATATACTTTAATGAAATTTTATGGTGCTTTATCAGAAATTTTAGTCTTGTACTTAAAAAAAGAAATTTTAATGAACCCATAAAAAATTTGAATATTTCATTTTCAACTAAATATTTTTATCTAATATTTATCTCAAATATTATAAAATTTTAGTTAGAAAATCAATTAAGAAAATATGTTTGATTTATTGTTACTATTAGGAGAAATTATTTTAACAGACAAGCTAAGTTTCTAATAAAATTTGACCTTGGACATTTTAGTTACCAATTAAATTAAAAATTGCACAAAACATTATAAATAAAAAACAGAACAATACTAATTATTAAAAAAAACATTAGCAAATAAAAAAACACAGTAATATAACAATTATAAAATTAAAAATTAAAAACCAAATCAATTCACACATTTCTGGAAGATAGATAATTTGTCTTGTTAGATAAAAATTAATTATTATTTAACTTCATCAAAATAAAATTGTAATTACAAAAATTTACTATCAAGAATTATCTTTAATATATAAATTTTGTGTCTAACTCGAACTTAGTTATATCAGAGAGATTTTAAGAGCGAGAGAGAACTAAAAATAAAAATAAAGTAAAAAGTGTATCTCAAAAGTGTTGGTAAAAAATAGTATAAGAAAATGTCCTTTTTTTTTGAAACTTAAAAGTGTCTAGTATATTAGTAGAGGATGAAAAAGAAATAAAATCTTTTGGAATTCTAAAACATTTGAAATTCTATTATTAGTTATTATCCGTCTCAATCATTATTCTCTTAGTAACTTTCCTTTACATATTCCAACTTTGTATACTAATTTTGTTTTTTTTATTCCATGAAATTGGTAGGGTTGATAATTAATTAATTAATATATATAATTAATAAAAATCAATTTACTATTTATTATTAGTTTTCTCTGACATGTCTTGTAAATCAATAAATTAAGAAAGAGTACAATAATAATTTTTCTCAAAAAAAAAAAACATAACAATAATAATTATAAAAAATATTAACAAATACAAAAATAAAACATAATAATATAGCAATTATAAAATAACAAAAAT